CGACTATTTTCCTAGCGAAAATTTGCCGTAATATCTGGCGCAGCAATACGGACCGTATGATCATGAGAGTACGGAGCACAAACAGCCGTAAACCATGAAAATTCAGTCCCGTTTACGGTGCCGTATTACTGTGCCAGGTATTACGGGCAAATACGGCCTATTTACTGCCGGAAATATACCGTTTTGACATCGTTTACCATCGATAAATAGACCGTAAACGAGTCCGTTTTGATCAACCTGGGTTGGAAAAGAATAATTCGAAAGGCCTCGCGTGAAAATATTATATTTACTATATCATTGATATTTAATTTATTTTTTGTTTATTTCTTGTTGAATAAAACTTATTATTTTTCCTTTCTTTTTTCTTCTTTATTTTATGCTTTATTTTTCTCCACATTTTGTCTCTATCAATAATCAATATTAAATAATAAATAATAAATAATAATAAAAATTCAAAAAATGATATATTTATTTATTCTTAATACAAATTCAATTGATCATATATTTATGTTGACTTGTCAAAATTCTAAGAATAGATTAAACTATTGAGTCGAAATGATTTCTAATGCGTTCAAGTTTAACGAGTGATTTAATGTATTTTAGTGTATCGTATAGGTAATGATTAAAATATACATATATTTTGAATATTAGAATACAAAAACAAACACTATCAAAACAACGGTAATTGAAATGATTCAAAAACAAGATGAGCTATTTTTCGTATAAATATGCAATAGGCGTACATCTTAAAGTTACATTTAGGTTATTCTGAGTTTTCTTTGAAAATTCTTATTTAATACTAATTGGCTTAAGTAGGTAAAAGACAAATAATGAGATGATAATGTAACCAATGATGGCAACCAATGCAATGAATTGAATTCGCCGTCCTCCATTAGGAACTCGAACTGTGATGAAGTCAGGCATATCACACAAAAACATAGCTACTAAAATTCCCATCAATGCACCACCGCCATGTGCTGCATGATCAATATGACCAGAAAAGTCAACATCCAAAAATACGCTCATGATAAAATAAGGAACAACGAGTAGCATGAGTAAAAATTGAATAATTTTGTCTTTTAAAACTGTAATTGTAAAGATTCGTAAAGTATTGTCAATAATACAGAAGAATAATAGACCATATACAGCACCCGATGCACCAACAGATACTTAAAAAAAAAGTAGTCAAATGTATATTTCGTTATATTTTTAGAACATAAATCAATACACAGAGAATTTTGAATGAAAATATTAACGATTACGTACCATTCTTTGAACTAACTAATGCACTCATTAGATTTCCACTAAAGCCAAATAGTATGTAACATATTGAAAATATTTTTGTTCCATATTTTCTTTCCAATACAGAGCCAGCTATTGCTTGAAAGACTAGATTATTCAGAAGATGACGTATACCAATATGAAGAAACATTGGTGTAAAAAATCGATATATTTGATAAGGAAAAAGAAAAGCATAACATTGTGATTTGAGACCGGAATCGTAGTCTATGCGTTCTGCTTTTGAAGACAGAGACTTCATACAAGGTACATATTTACCACCCATTTTTATTAGTGTATTTGATGTAATATTTCTTTCTCGTTGAACAATATACGTAATTAAAAGTAAGACAATATCGAATGCTCCAACAGCAACAGTAAAAATTGGCCGATGTGATGGAGATGTTACACGAACAGTTGTATCTTGTCGATCAATGTCCAATATCACATCTCCATTGAATGCATAGGTTCTAGATGCAGCCGGCGGAGCAGATGTATTTGATGTTGTTTTTCCCGTAGGTGATTCGAATCCATCTTTAATTTTTGTCCACATTGATCTGGTAAACGCCGCCATTGTATTCGTTGTCTCTAGCAATGATAAAGAAACGCTTCTGATTCCATTTTTTTTCAAATAATATTATGTATTACTGTAAAACTAGCTTCTCGTTATTAGCAATATCAAGATTTAGTCGTTGAAAAAAACAAAGATGCAATTAGAGTTATCAGACTTTTAATGGGCAAAAAATAATGAAATGTTTTTCAATACAAGATAGTTCACGAAAAAAAAGTAAGATTAAACCAGAATAAGGCGAGAATAAGAGATACTGAACAGGAGGAAGAAAAAGAAATATTTAGCGACATGGACTAAGCGAATAGTCTTTTTTTTACATGCATCTATGAAAGTCACAATAATCTCAATATACGATTGGCGCTGATTCTATCGTTGTTGTTTCTTGTGCTGAAACAACTTGACACAAGCCAAGATAACGACAAATAGCATCGGGATCAGCACTGTCAGCAATCAATTCAGCAATTACTGGTCCATAATTTTTAACAAATGTATCGCATCGAACACGTTCTTTTCCTTTCAAACAAAAAATAACGATATTCAATATCAAAAGGTATTTCATTCATAATTAATCATACGTGGTAAAATAGTGCACACTTTTTCTAAAGCAGCTTCAACAGCAGCTTCAGATTTATTATTCTTCAAGATAGCATCCAAATAGGAAACAGCATAATGACAAAGCATACATTCTGGTGTATCATCTAAATTTTTCACAATAATTTCTTTGAATTGTTCATCTTTTTCAATCGATGATTTGTCGTTCGACGGTATTTGATTAAGATCAATGGCTGGCTGTAATTCACTCATGGGTATTTGACAAATAGTTAATTGTTGACAAAAATTTCTATTAAGACCAAGTTCTAATGTTCGAATATGCGGTGCAACTAATTGAATTAATGTTTGACATTGTGAATATTGTTCATTTAATAAATGATGACAAACAGTTGACAATGCATGTTGCAGTGATTTTTCACTTGAATCACGTTTCAATGCAAAATTGATATAAGTTGAAACATAATCACAGATGCCACATGTTGCTTGATTGGCTTTTGTCAGATAAGAAACTTGTACTTTCATTTGATTTGTACATAAATTAAGTTTTCGGCAAATAGTCGAGAGATCGAAATCATTAATAAGTACTGCAATAATGGGTGGACCATAATTATCAATTAATTCATGACATTGCTTTTGTAAAGTGACTGGCATTTGATTACAAATTTTCTCTAAACTTTGTTCAATTTCTTGCTCCGTTGAATTTTGATGAATATAATTTGAGAGAATTTTCATTGTATATTCACAAAGAATACAAGTAGAATTCGAATCTTTCAATAGATCTGTTTCTTCATCTTCTGATTGTGTTGGTAGAACTGCAATGGATGGATGTGAAATTTTACACAGGCCAAGAATAGTACAAAATTGGTCAGCATTAATATAATTGTCATTGATATAGGATTTAATATTATTCACTCGTTCATTTATAGAATCGCGACATCGATCTTTTACTGGACAGTGTTCACATGTATGAATTAATGTTTCAAGAATGGAATCCTAGAATAATCAATTATGTTAAAAAATTAAGGTATTTTTGTAGTCTTACTAAAGCATTATTTAAGAACATTTTTGATGATGCAATAGCATTTTTACACGAACCACAAAGATCAGCATTAGCTTTAATTGATAATTGCTCACGTAAATCAACATCAATTAATTTTGGATTATTTTTCAATATAGCCATATAAACATTAGTATAACGATGACCTTGTGACGATACTAATATATGTTCACACATAGATTTTAATTGTCCGTAGTCAGAGCAGACATCGATTGATTGCAAACGTTCATCGAGATTTTTAGCTTGATAATGAGCAAGACTTCTTAAACGTAACAATGTTGAACTCAGTTCATATGTATTATCTAATTCGCAATAACCTAAATGTTGACAAAGGTTTTGTGAATTGCTATTGTTCATCGTATCTAATATTTCTTCTTGCTGAGATCGAACATTTGTACGACAATCATTATCCGTACATAATGAAAGAGATTCTGTTGTTACTTCATTGATTACTGAAAGAAAACGATGTTGACGTTGGTCAATATCATTTTGACAAGTGCGACATTGATCTTCATTTGTTTTCATCTAATATAAAAATAAGTTAATAAAAACAGATCATCGATGATTAAAATTGTACCTCAGAACTTTTACATAAAGTCAATGATTGGCAAGCTTTCTTAGAATCCTATAAGAAAACAACAACAACAACATTCAATCTTAAATGTCCGATAAAAATCACTTACAAATCGTGAAATAAATTTCTTAGCATTGGTTTCGATTCTATCAGTCAGTTGAAGACACTAAATCAAATTCACTATTTAAAACGAACATACTCATAAATTATCTTACTGAATCTCGACCCGATACTTGATCGCACAAAACTCGTGTACTTGCAACAATAGCTTCCTAGAAAAGAAGTCAACAGATAAAAATTTTCTTCTTCTATATCATTTCTAACCATAAATTTTGCTAATTTTGTGTGATAAATTTCGACTTTATTCGTACAACATTGACATTTATCCTCACACTAAAAGTTCAAAAATGAGAGATTAAATTTTGCTTTGTAATAACGAAATAAAACATACAATTTTCATTACAGGATTCGTTGGACATACATCAACTATTGAACATACTCTATGTGGATCAATAGTTTTACTAACAAGACTAAGTAGATTTAATCCCTCACTATCTGCCAATCGATGACACTAAAATCAATTAATCAATGAAAAACTAAATCATAAAGTTATTTATAAAAACAAAAACACGTACGAATAAATTTAATGATCCAAGTTTAGTACAAACATCTGATTTGATATATTCAATAATATCTCCCTGCAGATAAAAAGAAAAAGAAAATATTAGACTGAAAAATTTTCTTCACAATAAAACAAAATTGAGCCTTCAAACTGAGCAATCAAACCTCTCTATCATTTCCTTTACTTGCAAAAAATATAAACCAAAATAATATTCTTCGTTTTCAAAAGTACTAAAATCTTACTTTGATCGAATCATCCGATGGAACAACTTGTGTTGTTCTAATATTTGATAATGATGTTGGATCACACATTTTTAAATCGACACAAACAGTTCTTGGATCCTATAAGAAAAAACAATTTAGCAAAAAAATCTGCATCGGCAAAAATAATTCCATACCAATGATTGAATAAATGTAACAAGTTCATTAATCGAATCATCAACTGCTTTAGTACACTAAATAAAATTTAGTAAGAACAGACACGTATAAATATTTAAACCAATGATTTAAGCACTTTTTCTTACATCATCTTTTTGAGGTAATTGTCCGCAAAGATGATGAAGAAATTCCGATGAATGATTCTAAAAATAGGTATAAAGCATAATGAATGAATATGCCAATTTTCTAAATACATACTACAAGTTTTTCAGCAATATGTTTTTGTCGAATGAAATGTGTTAAACAACGTTTGCATTGATCTGGATCCTATAAATATCAGAAACAAGAACACCATTTAGAAGCGAAAATTTTCATTCAACATACATCTCGAACACTTAATTCATAAGTGGAAAATGATACATGTTGGCATAATCCAAATATTTTGCATAAATCACGACCATTCTATAAAAAATAATAAAATCCAATGGAAAATTCATAGAAATTTTCAGACATACAATTTCATTGAGAAGTACTTGCAATAGAGCATTACCATCTTTTCTCAATAAAGCTTCGCACTAATAATCGAGAAAAACAAATATAAGCTTTTCTTTTTTTAATATGGCTACTTACAGCACTTTTAAATGATCCAAGTTTATCACAGATATTATTCATAAGAAATGAGCGCATTTCATTCTAAAATAATATATTTTTTATTGTTCAATCAATCATCTCACTTACTTTTTGTATTGGACTTGTTTCATCCACAATTTTATCGAAACAATACATAAAATGTGTACAAAGAAGCATCGGATGCTAAATATGTAAAATTAAATCTAAAACAAATGCAATTCGTCGCTATTTTCTTACTATTCCATTTTGAAGATTTTCAATCAAATCCCGCCCATTCGTATCGACCACTTGTTTACAATTTTTCTTTAATACACCAGTTAAACGTGAACATATGTGTTCATCAATATAGAGAAGTACTTTATCCTTGAATAAAATTCTTTTTCTATTAAAAAGCTCAAGTAAAATTTATTTTCTTACTTCATCATGTTTAGTATCAAGCATTTCTTTAGCTGTTGACACAACGAATGTACACATATCGCAGCCAACTGGTGAAGCAAGCTAATTAAATAGAATCATCGATATTAATTTTCACTCGAAATAGGCGAGCAGAGGAAACTAATCTCTCAATTTTTTTTTGATAAACTTACTTGAATACCGAAATCTTCAATATAGTCGCAAATTTTTGATAATTCCTATAAAGAATAAAAATATTTATTATTGATTTACTTAATTTTTTTAAAAAGATATTTACCACACGACTGACTACATGTGCATAGATTTCATTACCATGCCGTTCGATTAAATCTTCACACTTAAAAACAAATGAAAGTATTGTTTTTATATTGAACTTGCTGGGAATATCTTCTTTTTTTACTCTTTTTACAAGTTGAAAATCAGCTAATTGTTGACAATCAGCTTTCAAATAGGTTTGAATTTCACTTCTAGGTTTTTGTTGATTCACATGAAGTTCTTGCGTAGCACGAACAACTACATTACATAATATTTTTGATTGTGTATCAACATATGGTTTTTCTTTATTTGTGTATATTTCATTATTTTGACAAATATCCATTAAACGACATAATCTATCGTAAGTCTAGAAAGAAAAACAATATTTAATCTATGAGAATTAGTTTTTCCATATTACTTTATGTTTCATCAGTTCTATTACTGTTGTTCGATAATTTTCAACGACATTGGTACACTAAAATAAATTAAATTTTTTTCTAAACATAAGAATAATTTTCCAACGTACTTTCGATGAAATATCTTCTAATGGTAGCATTTTACATCCATTTAATAATGTGAATTTAATTAAATCCTAAAATATAGTTTTCCTCTTGATTTCATTCGTACTGTTTTTTTTTTATATAGAAATAACAAACTTCATTATCTGCTACATTTTCTATAGCTTTATGCGTATTTTCAAGAATCTTTTCGCACCATTCACATTTAGTCGATGAATCGATCGATATACGTTGTTCATCATAACGCCATATTGTATCAGTACAATGACGTAGAGCACCACAATCTTGAGCATTTTGAAATGATTTACACCAGTAGGCAGGACCAATAGCACAATCTGGTCGATATGTATATGTTAAACATATACTTAAACCTTAAATTTATATTTGGAATTCTTATTTTCTTGTTTTTCTCCGTACCCTAAATGACTTACTAATCAAATACGTGAGAAATACGACTTTCGTCATTATGTCACAGATAAAATAAAAGGGAACAATCTAAAAATAGCGATTATCGATTATCGTATTTATTTATTTATTTATTGACGCTGATTCTTTGAAAAGAAAAGAAAAACATTTAGATAAGAAAACTGAACGATAGTATTTTAGCCAGCAGAAAAACAAAAACACAAACAAAACTGATTGGCGAGTGCATATTCCTATTGAAAAAAGACCGATTTATTGCAGTAGGAACGGAGTGGCATCTATTTATCACATATACCAAGTTTTTGACATACAGTTTTTGGATCACCATGACTAACAAGATAGTTAATTAAATCAACACCATACAGATGAACTAATGTCTGACATTCCGATTGTAATTGTGATACAGGTATAATTTTACAAGCCTTATCTAAAGCATCTTCAAATTGAGTTTCAGTCGAATTCGATTGAATTATTGCATCAAGATAATTAACAATATATTCGCATAAATTACACGGTAACGATTTGAATTTATTTATTTTCAATGCTGGTACTTGAATAAATTTGTCGTCCGATTTTGGACATAATGTTAACCATACACAAACAACATTTGGATCATCAAGTTCAGCAATAAGTTCAGCTAGAATAGGTGCATAGGTATCAACAAAAGTTTTGCACTGCTTTTGATATGATGATGGTAAAATTGTACAAACGAATTCCAATGCTTTTTCGAGTTCTGCTGCAGTGATATTACTTTGAATAAGAAGATCCAAATAAGATACTACATATTTGCATAATGAACATTCAGGATCATCTTTTATTGGTTTACTTGGAACAGTATCTATTACTTGAAAGAAATAAAAAGTTACTCAATCCAATATATTCTAGAAAACTCACGATCGATTGATTCCATGGTTTGTGTTCCATTGTTGCATAATTTCAAAGCACCACAAACTTTGTCTGGTGTGCCATATTTTTGGATAAGTTGAAAAAGAGCAGGTCCATATGTAACAACGAATTGATCACATGCAGGCTTAATTGCTGCTGGTAGAATGCCGCAAACTTTTTCTAGCGCTGCTTCAATAGCTGCTTCAGATTTGTTATTTTGAATAATGATATCGACATAGCCCACAATATATTTGCAGAGTGCACATGTGGCGGGAGAACCCGGCACTCTTTCGATTTTTAAGACTTGAAGGAGAGCACCTAAGATCCAAGAAATTATGATAACAGAAAAAATGAGCTTTGTATTTTACTTACGCGGTGATGTTTGTTGTGTTCCATTGTTGCATAATTTTAAAGCATCGCAAACTAGTTCTGGTGTACCATACGTTTTGATAAGTTGTAAAAGAACAGGTCCATATGTAACAACAAATTGATCACATTTGGGTTTAATTGATGATGGTAGTATACTGCAAACTTTTTCTAAAGCTGCTTCAATCGCTGCTTCAGATTTGTTGTTTTGAATAACGGTATCAACATAGCCGACAATATATTTGCAGAGTGCACATTCAGCACTTTTGATAGACAATTTTTCAATGTTGAATCCTTGATCAGTAGCACCTATAGATAGAAAATACTCAATTATAAAGAATTCCGAGAGATTTTTCGAGTGTTTACTAGATGCTATATCTTGTGTGCCGTTGTTACAAAGTTTGATGAAATTGCAAACTTGTACAGCCGTTGCATTTTTCTCCAAGAGGATTGCAATAATTGGTCCGTATATTTTAACAAAGTGTGTGCAGTTATCTTTGAGTGAGGCTGGTAGATAATTACAGACTTTTTCCAACGCTGCTTCAATAGCAGCTGGAGTTCTGTTGTTTTGAACTGCACTTTCTAAGTAACCGATGATTAGTTTACAAAACGTACATTGCAGAGCGTTTAGAGAGACTTGTTTCGATTTCATTTGTTGAATACGTTCAACTATAAAATTAAAATTAAATGTTCGAATATTAAAGAGAATTTGGAAATTTTATTTACGAGGAGATGACACGTCTGTTCCACTTGTACATAATTTCAAAGCATCGCACACTTGTTCTGGGGTGCCGTATTTTTCGATAAGTTGAACGAGAACGGTCGAATAGGTATCAATAAATTGTTTACACTTGTCTTGAAGTGACGATGGCAAAATAGTACAAACTTTTTCTAATGCTGCTATGATAGCTGCTTCGGATTTGTTGTTTTGAATAACTGCATCAACATAACTGATGATATATTTGCATAATGCACATTCAACAGGATTGGCTGTTGCTTTTTCAAATTTTACTATTTTTAAATAGTTTCGAAAAATGAACTTGTGTTACAAGTTTATTCAAATATGACTCACTTGGAATTATTGCTTCGGTTCCATTTGTACATAATTTCAAAGCATCGCAAACGTCTTCTGGTGTACTATACTTTTCAAGAAGTTGAACAAGGATGGGTCCATAGGTATCAACAAATTGATCACATTTGGTTTTAAGTGCTGCTGGTAGAATAGTACAAACTTTTTCCAAGGCGGCAAGAATAGCTGCTTCGGATCTATTGTTTTGAATAATTGTATCGATGTAACTGATAACAAATTTGCATAATGAACATTCAGCACTCTGGATTGTTGTTTGAATTGGCTGTTCAACTGGTTGAATAACGACGCCATCGTTGCAAATAGATAATTGTGAACAAAAATTTGGTTTGTATATGTGTGCAAGAATTTCACATTGTTGTTTAATATTCTTGTTTGTTGAAAAATGTGTACAAACATTTTCAATTGGATAACCGGCTGATAAATACGTTGAAACGTAATCACAAAGACCGCAAGTGCTTTGATTCGGTTCAGTTAGAAAAGCAACATCCTTAGGTTTTGGACAAAGTTTAACAAGTTGGCACGCCTTATCTGGATCAAAATCTCGGAGAAGTAGAACAATAAGATCGATACCGTATTGTTCAATAAATGCTTTGCATTCATCTTTTAAAGCAGCTGGCATAGCTTGACAAACGTCTTCAAGAATTTGAGCAAGTTCTTGAGCTGATGAATTCGCAGTGGCGAATGTCTGAAGCATGTGCATAACGAATTCACAGAGAACACACGTTTGATTAGGTGTAATACCAGTAGGTTTTGGTTTTGCAACGAAAGCACTTTGTGAATCATGTCCTTGAATGATGCGACAGATTTTTGTGATTTCCTTTTTAAAATAGAAATAAAATATAAATAGTAAAGTAAAAAGAAAAAAAATCTTACGGTGCCACTTTGAATATGACGAAGAATATCCGGAAGATACAGATCGACAGCCGTTTCACACTAATAAAGAGAAATATTTATCGAAATAATTTAACTTTTGGTCTTACTTTTTGGATTAGATTATTTTGACTCGGTAATTTAGCACATTCTTGACGAAGATATTGTTTCATTGAATTAACATTAATGAAAGTATCACTGATGAGCTCATTTGCAGCTTGAACAAGAACGTTACATAACATTTCAGCTGTTTGACCGCCTGTTATGGTTTTTTTGTCAGCTTCTTTTTGATTCCATACAGTTCTTTGACAATGGTCAACTGCACCGCAATTTTCAGCTGTTTTTGCATCGCGACACCAATATTCTGGACCTTTAATACACTCGTCTGAATAGGCCCAAGCACTGGTAGTGATTAAAACAATTGCTTAAAACACAGAATTCCATTTAGCACAAACAAAACAACAACAAATCTAACTCACCACTCAGGATCGTTATCAGTTTCATGTTAGAAACTCTTCGCTGTTGTATATCTAGAATAACGAAAAACGATTTGCCTGTGTATATCGCAAAATGCACGCTTATAAGAATCCTCTTTTTTTTTATACTATCATATCTAAAAAAAAAAAGATAACAGAAAAAGTGCGACGAGCGCACACAACTGATAAAACAAGGAGACAGGATGCGTTGTTTTTTCTGTTATACTTTTTGAATAGAAATGGGTCAATGACGACGGCAAAATGATCTATGGAATAAAATAAAATAGGTTAGAACAAGTTCCGAAATGAATGCTAACATTTAGTGACAATAATGAAAAATCTCTAACATTCCTCTCTCTCTCTCTATATATATATATATGAGGAGTGGAGGGAAGAGAGAGATAGTAAGAAGAGCCTTTAGAACGCAAAAAACAGGTGAAGTTTGGCCTTCGCGAAAATTGTTAACTTTCTAGAAGTTTAATTATCAAAAAATAAGAAAAGTGAAAAAACAAATACGCAGCATTGACTGCTAAAAGGCCTTATCTATCTATTTATTTGCGAAGCTGCTAGGCTATCTAATATTGTGTATACATTTAAATGAGTCATGTTTCAAATATAAGATGAATTCGTATAGCAGATGTTTTTATAAAAAGAGAAATTCGCATAAGGAAACCTTGGCTTCTGTTTACTCTATTGAATATTTCGGATAATATCAAATCTAGCAGATGATCTAACATGTCACTCAATTTAAAAATTGTTTTTTTTTGGAAAACATAGTTGAAGGAAGAAATCAAGTTTTGTTAGTAATCGTTTGAAAATTAACGCTCTCAAAAAAATTATAAGCTATTTATGGAAGGAGGCATATCTCCCAGGTCGAGCACACCATTACAAAACATCGCGTGTGCAAAATATTTGTCTTTTTCGTCAGTTTACTTCAAGGTAATACGCATAAACCTGGTAATTCTATATTATCTAATAACGCATCTGAATATTGAATAAAGTCCAGAAGGAAACTAAAAGTTCTTTTGCCAATAAGAATACTATATGGGTGTTTTAAATTCAGATTTTCTCTTTTCTACATTTCTATATCCATTACTTGAACATTTTCATCCAATCATTTAGCATAGAAAAATTGAATTTTTGTAATACAAACTTTATTGTTATCAAGATGTGAAACAAATTTAAATCCATATTTTCAATTATCAATAATCAAAAACAAAATGTAACACAGAAAAACCAAACTCTATACATCAAGAAAAATTAATTGCGATGGCTTCAACAAAATAATAACTTATCAACAATACAATGGTAATATGTGATAATAGAAATGTTGATGCTTTACTAACACCTAAAAATCGATTTCGTCGTGTACAAACCGTTCCATTACAACAACCAATAGTATTTATTGGTGTACAAGTATAACCATATTGAATAATACATGCATTTGTACATTGTTCAGCAGTATTGCAAGTTGATGGGGTATAATAAATATGCCCTCCACATTGACATTTACACGATGGAATATAACCGTAACAACTACCACCACAACAGCCTTGAGTATTTGCAATATTACATTCGCGGACCGATTGTACACACGCTTGTGCACATTGTTGTGGTGAACCACAAATAAGATTTAATGGTATATTTTGACTTGTACCACACAGACAAGAACATGATAGATATGAATTAGCACAATCAGCACCACAACATGCTCGGGTATTCCCTTCTGTACATGCGCTATATGAACTCATACACGTTTCTAAACAATTTCGACCCTTTTGACAAGGAACTGATGTTGACGCGATAAAATTTGAACCACACCTACATGTGCATGTTGGAATATATGAAGAACATGATGCTCCACAGCAGCCTTGTGTTTGACCTACTGTACATGTACCATAAGTCTAAATATGGAGAATGAAAATATTTTTTTATGAAGTATAAATTGAAAAAAAAATATATATGATAATATTTTCTTACTGTCATACATATATTAATACATCTTTCAGGACTAGAACATCGAGGCGATGGATAATACGTATATCCGTGACATTGACAGGCACATGTATTAGCAATAGCTTGTGAATATGTTTGACAATCAGTTCCACAACAAGCTTCAGTTGTTATTGTCATACAGGTTTGAGGATATTTCGAACGGCATAGTATTAAACATGATTGGGATGATGAGCATGTATCAGTTGGATTGAAAAATTGTTGACCGCCACAGTTACATGTACAAAATCTATTTTGAAGCGATTGAGATTGAAAATATTTGCATGATGAACCACAACAACCATATGTATTGATCAGAGTACATTGTCCAGGATACATTTGCAAACAATATGCTACACATGTTTGTGGATTAGTGCATATAACGGGTGGCCCATAGGACATCTCACCACAATTACACGTGCATGAACTTTGCTGACCATTGTTGACGTTATTTTGATAAAGTTGTACATTGGGCATATTACCACCCATATAATCAGGATTATATGCATAGTAAGGATCATTAAGATTAGTTCCGAGTGATTGACGTTTTTGTCGTAGTTGTTTTTGTGTGATATTATTCGTTCGTAACTCCTGTTTTCCTTCTATAAAATATAGAACATATTTTTCAATCGTTTCAAATACAAAATAGAAAATGAACAGCTTATAATACGGTAAATAAAAATGAGAAACTGCTACTCGTATCTTTACCTATCAAGTGTACGATAACAAATGGGAATAATATAATAATTATAATAACACATGAGTTCATTATTGTTCATCGATTGAATACATTATCAATCAAATAATATAAACGTTAATCTTATATCAATGATGATAGCAGAATCTAAGCTTCTTGTGTTCTCTTACAATTTATTTTACTGATTCTTTTTTCGTTCTCTATGCCTTTCTTTCGTTTCTTTTTACAACTTGCGCAAGCTATTCAAATATAAAAATGTAACGGACACAATGGTAACTTTCATCATTTCGATCTAATGTCTTCTTGGCTGCTGCATACCTACATACACACACACACATACACACGCATATTTATATATTCAAAACAACCTGTCAAAGATTGAGAAAGAGAGAGAGAGAGAGGGAAAGAAATGAATCCAGCATGCGGAAAGAGTTTCGACCACAAAGTTTCAATAGGAAATATGTGGCACTTATGTCCAAGAGAACGGAAGAGTAAATAGTATCGACGTCATAAAGTAAAATTAACATTGAACGTACTGTTACTATTTCATATAAATTGTATACAGAGATGAACAAAAGCTGTATAAACGTTACGCAGTATACAAGTATTGGTCGTGATGTGACACATCCCTCGATTATACCTACTTCAGAATAGTCTACTATTCAGTGGTGGCTAAAGAAAAAGAATGAGAGAGAAAGAAAGGCGGATACAACAAAACAATAGGCTACCGTATAAACATCAAGACAATTGTCTATAAGAAATTGGATCATAAAATGATATGTATGCGCTTTTCATATTGAAATAAATAAGTCAGCGGTCAGTGTCATAAAGAAAATATGATTACAAAAAGAGAAAAATACATTATTTCAAATTTCTCAGCAAGACATATGATAAGATTCGATATAACAGGAAGGATATATTTAAGTCTTAAATTATAAGTTCGATTTAATGAGAATATGCTTATGTAATTCTATAAACGTTTTTAATCACAGTAAGAAAAATCGTGTAGAATGATCATCGTAATTCGCCTTTTTTTAAAATTTTTATTCGAATATTAATTTTTCATGAAGTGTTTAGATCAAACTAATTTATTTCAGTTATGATTTTTTTATCATGTTATAATTCACGGAGTAAGACTGCTGTCTGATCATTGAGATGAATATATTAGTAAGAACACTTTTTATGATAACTATTGAATACATATATGTATTTTTATGGAACAATAAAAATAAATCCCCAAATAGCTAATATTTGTTAAATTATAATTTTACAGTCAAGTTAATAGTGATGTTTGATTAGCAGTATGATTAAATCCTAATCAACGTAACTTTTGTTTAAACACATGCGTAATTGTGCGAATATCATTTGATGAAAAATATATTATGGAATATGATAAAAGCAGAGAAATTTTTAATAGAAGTTCCATTTCATACAAATCCTGTATAACTTTTCAAAAAAAAAGAATTTCTTTGTTTCTAAATAGAAATTATCGATAAATTGGTATGCATTGAGAATAATTTCATTTCTTATATAAATCGATTGAACATATGCAATGTTTTATTTGCATAATAGATAGTTTCAAATTGCGAAAATATCAATCAACAATGTAATAAATTTCGATGCTTTGTTAAACAGGTAGATAGAAACTTGCAATTGAAATATCTTCGAATGAAAGGGAATCCTTCTCAGACCTATTGATAAATGTTATGATAATGATGAAAACAAACTGTGTTCCAACATAATTCTCAACTTGCGATTAATATTAGGAGTTAAATTGTGTTGTATTGTTTACTCTCTTAGAACTATCATTAAAATGTTATTTTTAAATAAACCTATTGTTTGAAATCTTCGTCTAAATCGAAATAATTCAATAACTGTATACCAAATTGTCCATGTTTAGCATTAAAATCAGTTTTAAGATGATTGAAAAACTTTTTAGAATTTTGCGAATTGAACTGTTGAATTATTAGCAAATAGAAATTGCACGAAACGTTGAAGGAAAGTTTTTTGTTGAACTGATTGCCTATATAAAATTGATTTTTAAACAAAACAAAAGCGGTATAAAAGTTGATTGACTTTGACAAGGCAAGAATATTTCTTAGCACTTGATTTTAATGCGGTTGTTCTGAGACATCCATCAAATTATTCTTCTATGCCAATAAATGAGTAGCTATCTAATTCGAGTTCGAATATGAATGAACATCAGAAAAAGAAAGCTTACTAAATTTTTCTAGGATATATATATATATATATCAGATTCCAAACAGGCCGCGTCTTCGAGGCCTATAGGCCTATCAACGTTTTTGATGCTAATACAATAATGATGAGAGACTAGAAACTAGAGGTACATACAGATCACCGAGTATACTTTCATACCTGGAGGTAACCGATCTATCACAGGCAGACCAATAGGTCAAAATTAGTTGAACCTCTGATAAGTATTGGTCCGAAATTCGTGGTCTATGCTTATGACAGATCGGTTACCTCCAGGTATAAAAGTACACTCGGTGCTCTGCATGTACCTCGATATATAAGAATAGTTGGTTTATTCTTATTCAAAGGAAACCTATCTTTTTCTTGTACACTCCCTCGAGATTGAAGATAAATAATTAAAAGTTTTTTTCGTTTTGGTAGGGTTTATTGAGCGGTTTCTGTCAAGTTGAAACTTGACTTCGTCAGAAACTACATTTAAAAAAACTTTTACAAAAAAATTATTATTACAACAACAACAAAAAAGAGTTCTACGGGTCTAAGGGGTCTCGTAGATGGTACAAGTAAGAATGTTTTTATTTTAGAACGATGAAAAAATTGCATTTAGTACATAGTTGTTATTGTTTTGTCACTGGTGCCAACTTGTTGCCACCACAGATACAATTTCACCAGAAAGATTCTGTGGTCGTTTTATTGGATATGTGCGTGGTTGTTGGTGTTGTTATTGGGCACGGTCTTTCCAGTATCAACATAAGACGATCAGGTTTCTTTTTAACTAAGTAATCATGCAGATTGTGTAGTCTTTTAGAACCGGCAATTGGCGTTATGTTAGTGATAGCTGTATCTGAAATACAATCGTCCCATCATTTATGAAGAAGGGTCGAAAAATCTTTCATTCCTTTGCAATAGGAGAAGTGACAAAAGATTGTTGCTGCAAAATCTATTCTAGCCTTCTTAGATTCTTTGCTGCAGTTTTCAAGAAAGGTTTTCCTTATATCGGAGTAGTTCCTTCTTGTAGGTACTGCACACCAAAAGGATTGTGGAACTCTTTTGATATGATCAAGAATAAAATCTTTTGGATATTAGGTGAGCAATAGAGACACAATTATGTGTGCTTCTTCACGTTTGAAAGCGTCGAAACTAGAAGAGTATCTTATTGCTCTTACAAGAGCTGCATAAGGAATATTCTTCTTTATATGTTTTGCGTGTACGCTTGTGAAAGGGAGAAAATATGGTTCATGTGATGCCTTGTGAAAAACCTCAGATATCAAAGAACCTCCTCTATTTTCTATTTTTAGCTCCAGGTATTCTGCTGTGTATCCGATGGATGCTGATAGATTAATATTGATCTCAAGCTTATTCCAATAGTTCACAAGACCTGTAAGTGTATCAACATATACATTAGACATGATGAATAGATCATCAATATATCTGTAGTAGAGCGAGTTTGTTCTAATAGCCCATTTCGACATTGGCCGTTCTACAAAGTACATGTATGCATTTGCTATTGTAAGAGTGAGTGGAGAACCCATCGCTCCTCCTCTTATCTGTTTATAATATAAGCCATCTAAGTAGAAATAATTGTTGGTCATGACAAATCTGGCAAGAGCTAATATAATCGCTTTTTTAACGCCATCGATTTGTTTTATATTTGATGCTTCCATCAGTTTACTTATGGCTCTAATTCCGCCTTCTTGAGGAATCATTGTATACAAATCAGTCACATCCATTGTTATAAATGATGTGGTGGGTGTCAGATATCTAGCTGACCATTGTTCGATTTGTTTAACGAGTTGACTACCATTGAGAATGGTTGTTTCGTTTGCTAATCGATTAAATACAGGTCTCAATAGACCATCTAACCATCTGGATATGGCTATAGTAGGCGATTTTAAACTTGCCATTATTGGTCTTAATGGTGTCTTAGGTTTATGAGCTTTTGGCAGGAAGTACAGGTGAGCTATCTCAGCCTGTTCTTTTATTACTTTTAGTCTTTCGTATTGCTTCTGTGTAATATGCTTATTTCTCCATAAACCATATAAAAAATCGTTTGTTTTATTGACTAGAGATTCAAGTGGGTTGCTCGTACCCAAATCTTGATACGCTTGAGTCTGATTCATATATGCTCGAGCTTTCTCCTTATAATCATCTAGTTTTCCTAGATGGAAAACTTTGGATTTATCTGTTTTTCTTATGACTGCTTTTGTTGTGTCGATTTTATTTCTTAAGATGTTTAAATGTTTTAATTCTTCTGATGGAGGGTGTCTATCGTGACAATCGGTCAGGATCTTCCCGAGTGAATCTTTGAAAATCTGTAACCGTTGATTCGGTAGTACCCATCCATGTGTGTAAAAGTTTTTATTCAATGCAGTTTCGACGAAGTTAAATTTCAACTTGACAGAAACCGGTCAAATAAACTCTACCAAAACGAAAAAAAACTTTTAATTATTTATCTTCAATCTCGAGAGAGTGTACAAGAAAAAGATAGGTTTTCTTTGAATAAGAATAAACCAACTATTCTTATATATATATATATATATATATACACACCCACACGCTTCACCTTACTTGGAAAGTTAACAAATGTTCTCAGTATAGTGGTTAACACAGTGATGGACAATATTTCTGTCGTTTAGGATACTACACAATGTTTTTTTAAGTTAATTATAAAAATACTTAGGATATACATATATTCAAAGTCAAAACAACACGATGTCAGGTCTAACACTTTTTATTCACTAAGGTTCCAACTATTGTGAAAATGTGTCTTTTTTTTCATAATGGGTAATGTTGATGGATAATCAGCGACATCAGAATTATTCAATCTTAGCACTCATTCTGATTAAGAAACTCTAAGTACAAATAACTGTTCTTGGTTAACTATGACGGAGAATGATGAACGAACAATAACGGTTTACATTATTTATTTACAATAGACCGTAAAAAAAAGCGTTTTCCATCATTGTTAACTGGATATGAGCATCGATTGTCTTTAAGATAAAGTGAAAATTCTTTATATTATTTAATGAAAATCAGCTGCCATTGTCATCATTTGATATTCTCTCGAAACACATCGATTTTTCAATTCAGGTAATTGTTTTCAGATGTTTCATCGTGAAGAGCATCATAAATTAACAATAAGGTATAGCCACCAATTCTTTCAATGGTACCTATAGAAAAAAGCTGAATGCATCCATTAAAATTTTAAGTGTTTTCGAGCTGTCTGAATAAAGAATAAAGAATATTTTTTTGAAACGAAAGGGTGGTGGATGTTGTTTACACATACTCTGTTCTTTGTTACTTAATATTTCACATTTTCATTGATCAACACAAAAGCACATACTCTCTGCAACAAAAAACCTTTATTAGATACTTTGAATAATATACATATTGCACATTTATAGCTACTGATTGCAATATCAATAAGTGCACACATATTATATGCAATAGTCTTCATTAGTTTCTGTACAGTTTTCACGGACTTGCGCTCCGTCATTCACACAGACACTGACTCTTAGACTTCGATTCTTCTATCCAGTGGAATCAACAGCATGGCAACGAAAACTGAGTAAGAAATAGAAATTGAATTGAATAAAGTAGTGTGTTTGTTTTTGAAAAGGACGAAAGATCAAACTATTACTTGGGAAATCATATTCAAACTCTTTTTTATTGGTTTCTTAAGTGCAGGTTTCACTGCAGCAGTAGCCGTTCCGGTGACTATAAAAATCGTCCATTCTTCATGTAAGTGCATAAGCCTTTTCTTTGTATCTCTATGAATACTCATGTGCTCAGATTTTTTCTGAAGACACATTTTTTTCTTCTTACTGAAAAGCACATGTTGCGTTATTGCAAATAACGTCGAATATTTGCGAAAAATGTGTTTAACAAATAATGTAATGGAAATAAAATTTTTTGACTAGAATGAAAGAACACATACATATGATGTGTCTCATATGATGATAAATATTTCATGTTTCTCGAAAGAGAATAATCTTGTAATGAAAAGTTTATGTTAAGGTTTTATTTCTGTTGGACCATTTGTTGACACATAATCTTAAGAAAGTCAATGTTACTTATCATAGAACTATTATTGATATATAACTAAGTTTTATATTCTTGAAACACCCATTATAATCTTAATCTTCGTTCTAGTCTAACAACAACGAGAATGAGATTATTCTTCCGTCCCTATAAATCGATTGAGGCATTGAGAGAAACACACTAAAATAAAAGACTAATTGGATAGAATTAGCAACAGATTTTCGGACATAGTAAGAGTGCACATCACTGGTTGCATTTTTCATTTTGCATAAGAACGAAGATTGAAGCATACACAATTGATGCGATAAAAAAGAAACAAAGACCATATGAAATTATAAAGCAAGATTTAATTACAGAATTTTGTCTTTTTTTCTACATGATTTTTGTTTTCAACGAAAATTCTAGCAACGACAATTACAAGCACAACAACACTTAGTACAGTAACAACAGTGACCACATCAACCTCAACGAGTGTGACAACCACAACGACAAGTAAATATTTATTATGACATCTAAACATGTAGAATGTATACATTTCTATATGTTTCTCATGAACTAATTACATTTGTGACATACATTGTTGCTTTGGAAGAGTAGGCATCATTCCATGTGATTATTCAACTGAAGATTCAACTAGCCGGAATGAACCTATCATGTCCATGAAAATTTCCTATTGAGAGTTCCCCGATAAATCAAGGAAATAATGCTTTTTTACCTACTCAAGCGATTAGAATCGAGAGTTCAAGTTTAAAAAAAAAACTTTTTATAGGAGTTTTAATGTTGACTCTATTGAATATATGCAAACGAGTGGGTTAGAAAGAAACATTAGCTGTGGCGGCAAGCCCTCGAATGTTTGAACTAGATTGAGCTATTCTTAAACTGAACGATCAAATTCAATCAATTTATTATGGATTTAAGTTTGTAAAACATATTTCCTGGAGGACTAGAATTTCTCTGCATCTAAATTGATCGTCTTTGTTACGATTTAACATTTTAGAAAATACAAACAAAAAAGTAAATAGTCAAGATAAAAAAAACCTTTGTTTCTAAGATTGCTAGAGATATTGTTTACAATTTTGCCTTTTTGAATATTTTTATCTTTTTGATTAAAACTTTTCTAGAAATTTATAAAAGTCGTTATAAGTAAATTTTATCAATTTTAATTCTTGAGGTTGTTCTGTTTTTTTTGCTTGCGTACTCGATATTCAATAGGTATCGAAGGCTCGAAAATAACTGGTAGCAGAACGATAATAACAACTTTCACATTTTCAAGCAGTTACTCGCCCAGTCATATATGTTTTGTTGTTTGAATATAATATCGGGTAGATGAACGAACAATTCATATCCTGTTGCAGAAAACCAAACTGTATGTTTCATGAGTTATGCGGATCATAGTTCAAAATCAATTGAATTTACAATAAAAAACATCCAAGGAGTTATTATCAACTGTTGAATTCAACTAGAAGAACTTACTTTCATTTATTGTTTAAGTTTCGCAGTTTGCATGGTATGACTTTAAATTACGATAGTTGGATCTAGCAAGGGAACGTTCCCAAGTGATTAAAAGCTTTTGAGCTCATCAGTTGCCCATTAGGGAGGGGACCAATAGGTTAGAGAAACCTTCAAAGGATTCGTACCCAGATTGAAATTTGACAGAGATATCGAATTTTGACCTGAAATCTTACCCAAATGAAGGCCTCGATTAGAGTAGCTTATATAGAAAATTTCAGAATCTTTGGGCATTGCATCTCCATGGTATCAATTTTTGAACATATAGCCACGTTTCTAGAGATGATATGGATACTTTGAAAGATTGATATCTTGAAGATGCAATGTTCAAAGATTCTAAAACATTCTATATAAGCTACTCTAATCGCGGCTTTCATTTGGACAACATTTAAGATCAAAATTTGAAAATATGAGTTTGCTGTCGAACTAGGGTCCAGCAGGAAAAATCCACTAAAAATTCGAAATCTCTGTCAAATTTCAGTATGGGCACGAATCCTTTGGAGGTTTCTCTAATCTAGTGGTCTCCTACCTAATGGGCAACATATGAGCTCAATAGCTTTTAATCACTTGGGAACGTTCCCTCGTAAGTATTTACTGTATAGGAATTAATTATTTTCTAGTAAACAGATTCATATTGAAGATGTACCTAATATAGCATGACAGTAGTTAATGCAAGGGGGAAACAACGCACTCTTGTAATCTTGCATTCCATAGAGTACAGTTGGAGTCCACTGAGTACAATGGAATGCATCGAATGCGATACAAAATCAAGAAAAAAAAAGATTTACTTAAGCATCTTTGGTACTCCTTGGACTTCCACTATACTCTGTGGACTTCCTTTACTTGCTGGACGTCGTGTACTTCGCTGGACTCTGGAAGTACAGTGTGAGTCCTGAGAGTACAAAAGAATCTCGTTTATATTTGTAATCTGTGGACTCCCAAAATCCATGAAGTCCATGGAGTCCAATCGGAGTACATGGGCTCCAGGGAGTATGGAGTACGCCGTTTCCCCCTTGGGTTAATGTCTATTGGGAAAATAATGCCCTAACTGATAAACTACTGACTTCAATATTTTTCATTCCAGTAACAACGACGACAACAACGACTACTTCAGCAATATGCACGTATCCATGCAGATGTACAGGAATTTCTTCCTATACTCTGTGGCAAATATTGACCAATGATACAATTTCTATGACTGTTGATACTTCCAGCTGTAATTTTTATCAAACTCCGACTTACTTCACCAGTTTATTTGGAACGAGTAGTCACTGGACAATGATAGGTTATAATGCTATTTATTCACCGGCAAATAGTTCGTTTACGGTGCACCTGAGATATATCGGCAGCCTTAGTTCATCAACACTGTTGACTTACGCTTCCAACTACTTATGGAATGTGCATTGGTTTGGCACATATAGCTAAATGGAAACTCATATATATCGGACTCCGATGCGTGGCGCGATATCGTGAGCATTCCTCATGCAAAACTGTACTCTATTTTTCAGAAAAATACTTTTAACCGAGTGTAGCATGAATAAATGAATGCGAACATTGAATTCTTCCATTCAGTTTTTTTGTAACATACATCAAATGTGATTACATGAATAATAGTTCTGAACATTCTTTGCACATAGGCCATCAAGTGTGTAGATGGAGCTGCACAAAATAGAATAAATATTAAAATTCTACAGAGGTCAAAACTGTACATGTCTTAAAAGACATGAGGAATATTGTTAAATTCACAATCAAGGTGCTAATCACACCACGTGATTATTAATATTTACCTGTGCTTCAAGAAAATTCGTTTTCCTACAGAATAGAACTCTTTCAAGAACCGTTTCGAAAATTCCCAGAAGTTTCCAAAACCATCTGCCACTTTTCTGAATCTTCGTAAGCTAATGAACTTCCGTAAACATAGTTGCAAAAAACCCAGACTATTGATAAGCACCAAAAGAAACTGATCTGAAAAATTTAGACCGCATCAAACCGAAAGAGTGGGTTTACCAGTAACTCGTGACACATTTTTAATTCACAATTGAATGCAGTGGTATACATTAGAAGAACATAGCATTTTTGACAACTAAAAAATGATTCAGATCCAGAACAATTAGACAGGTCAATCTAAAATTCCAACTCATAGAGGAGCAGATCGGCCGACTACTGAACTGCACCAGCAATTCAGTATAGATTACAGGTACTGTAAATACAATTCTTCTTAGTTGAGCAGTTTGAATAGATTTCATCTAATTACGCGCTGCTTTCAACAGTTCAACTAATCAGAACTTTTCCGATCTGTCAGATTTCTATTCATCGCTTCACCTTACTTGGAAAGTTAACAAATGTTCTCAGTATAGTGGTTAACACAGTGAAGGACAATATTTCTGTCGTTTAGGATACTACACAATGTTTTTTTAAGTTAATTATAAAAATACTTAGGATATACATATATTCAAAGTCAAAACAACACGATGTCAGGTCTAACACTTTTTATTCACTAAGGTTCCAACTATTGTGAAAATGTGTCTTTTTTTTCATAATGGGTAATGTTGATGGATAATCAGCGACATCAGAATTATTCAATCTTAGCACTCATTCTGATTAAGAAACTCTAAGTACAAATAACTGTTCTTGGTTAACTATGACGGAGAATGATGAACGAACAATAACGGTTTACATTATTTATTTACAATAGACCGTAAAAAAAAGCGTTTTCCATCATTGTTAACTGGATATGAGCGTCGATTGTCTTTAAGATAAAGTGAAAAGTCTTTATATTATTTAATGAAAATCAGCTGCCATTGTCATCATTTGATATTCTCTCGAAACACATCGATTTTTCAATTCAGGTAATTGTTTTCAGATGTTTCATCGTGAAGAGCATCATAAATTAACAATAAGGTATAGCCACCAATTCTTTCAATGGTACCTATAGAAAAAAGCTGAATGCATCCATTAAAATTTTAAGTGTTTTCGAGCTGTCTGAATAAAGAATAAAGAATATTTTTTTGAAACGAAAGGGTGGTGGATGTTGTTTGCACATACTCTGTTCTTTGTTACTTAATATTTCATATTTTCATTGATCAACACAAAAGCACATACTGTCTGCAACAAACATTACTTGCTTGAAAATGCCCACTAGTACTGCGTACAGAACAGTATATATACCTCGCAATACACGTACAGAACGATTGGTAAAGTATAATTGAACTTTCTCTGCCACCAAAAATATTCTTTTGCAAAGATTGAACGGCCGCTGTATCCATCATATGAACAATTATTAGCGACACAGTGGAGTAATGCTCCGCCGTACACAGTAAGCAGCACTGCAACCCAATTAAGGTGAGATACACAAAATTATTTTCATAATTTACACCCTTTCGTTTTTTTAGCAGAAACGCTGAGAACACTTCTGTCGTCATAACACCACTCAGAGGCTTGATTATGGTATTGCTGGGTGTAGGTGCTGCTTTGGCGATTACCATCCCAGTCACTGTTTCTCTTTACGAGAGTTCGTGTAAGTTCATAACTACTTTTCGCAGTGTTGAGTGGGTCGAAATGTTTTACAAAACTGCAATTTTGTTCACGAAACTTTAAGGCCCCTGAAAAAAATATTTCAGCTCAGGAACGTCCGAATTAGATGAAACTTTCAGGTTTCAGGGAGATATGAACCAAAAAAGGGTCAAAAATTACTCATTTGGGATCCTAAATTTCTCGGTCCTGGTTCTATCAATAGATAATTGTTTTTTGTTGGAAAGAGCATCTGAAGATGCGGATCACACGGAAGCTCTTTTTTGAAATAGTCCTTTTTTAATCCAGTCAAACGTGAAACGTATAACATACCGTTTAAATGGCTACTCATGTTTCAAAGAGTTTACTACGTTAGTTGATCGTTTAAACGTTTTTCAAAATCAGTATGCACTATTTAAAAAGTGATAATAAATTTTTAAAACATTTATTTTTCGATAAAATACTCCTATAAACATGTGAAAAATACCAGAGCACAGACGGAAGAAAATTGAATCTTCTCGGACTTTCATTTTCCCTTATTGACTGATGATTTATTTTTAAAAACTATTCATTCTCTATATTTCTATTTCTATTATATAAAGACAAATTGAATCAAGATATGTTTCACATATTAATGAATGGCTCAAAGTGGCTGTGTTTGTTCGAAAATTACGATAATGAAAGAAAACCGAAGTTGTAATTTTGAATTTTAACTTTAAACTTTTACTTTAAAATGCTAATCTTTCAATTAAATTCCAAGATCGAACTAACTGATAAGCCATGTATAGTAGTACTCCCAAACATGACATTGTTGCATCGAAAACTTAGATCACTAATGAACAATACATCACTGTTTGAATTAATTAGTAGTGCAGCTATTCATACTGTTTGATCTCCACATCAGATAAAAGCTTCAGAAAATAACTCATAAAACAAGGACACAAAGTGATTTCAATTGATATCACTATTGTATCCGTTGTTTGATTTCAAACTTGTCGATAGAAACAACATGCGCGCTAAGTTCATCAGTTTGGTTTGGTGAATAATACTAGGTTCTATTTATTTCACAAAGGTATGTAGAATTTACATAAACAATAAATATATTTATTGTCTCCAAGCAACTATTCTTAGTCATGGAAGAGAAGAGAAGAGAAAGTCAGTCCGGAAAGGAAAGGAAGAAAAGAAAGATAGATCGATGACTGAGAGAAAATAAAAGAAATATAAGTAAAAGCAGCACATTCAAACATATAGATGATCCTTATTGACGTGTTGTAAAAATATAAATTTAATGAAATTTAAGGTCCACCTAAAAAATTCAACTTTCTTCAGAAAATCGAAAATTGAGTTTTCTACATATGAATATAGCTCGTCTATCGCTCTTTCAGAAACAGTATAGGTTTTTTCCAAAGACACTTTTTTGACCTGAGGGTGTAGGTATGAGTGTAGGTGTAGGGTGTAGGGCGTGATTTCAGAGAAGAAGTACACTCACACCCACACCATCAGGAATTACTAATCAGTAGTTCACAGATTATGATGTTTATGTTTGTGGTTATATTGTAAATTGTTTCTTGCATTGTGTTTTGAAGGATCCGTGTTATAGGTAGAAAATGATCGAATAATATTGAAAATTCTCGATTAAATAAATAAAACGACCTTCAAATCATCTACCATTATTTAATTTGTACTCAGTATTGAAGAAAATCTCATGAAGGGAAATACCTTGATATTTAATATGAATTGATATTATGAATTATTGCAGTAGATCTCATAATACGCAATTCAATACTAGTTGATGAAGAGTATTATTTCAGTGATACTCTGCAATTCGATCGTACATATTGCGAATACGAAACGTGCTGAATACGCATAGGGTGTGAGTAAAATCGACAAAGTAGAATGTGATATTCAGTCATACAACTTGTTAAATCATCAATAAGTAACAGTTCATTAGATTTTAAGATGTGTCACACAAAACAATTTTCAGTATTGAGAAAATTATCTAAACATGATTCCTCTAAATCTGCAATATCATCTAATATAGAAAGACAATTTGCAAAACACAGATTTAATAATTAACCAAAGAAGAAGCAATATAAATACCGAGCAAATACAAAATATTCTCTTTATAAAACCGCCCACGAAAAAACAATCACTGAAATATGCATTTCAACGCGTTGTTTATTTTGTTCACATGTTTTCGCTAGACTTAAAACGCACTTTTCCCAACGCGTTCAAATGCTTTATTTTCAGTGGATAACGCAAAAATGAGATAACCCTAGCTTTATGAAAAGCGCGTTTTTCCCGAGCAGAAAAGAGATTTCTTTGAATGCAATTTTATTATTGAATATATTTATTCATTATGATGTCGAACAGATTCGCACTATGGACTTCAAATTTCACTTACCTGATGCTATTGAGTCAAATTTACTGTTACCAATATAGAGATGGAATGTCTCTACATGTTGAATTGAAGGACACATTTTGAATTAATTCAATTTAAATTCAAAGTAAATTTAAATTGCGAGAATTAACATTAAAAATATTTTAAAATAGTTCCACAAAAAAAAACATTTAAAATTATTTAAAAAAATTATTTTTGAAGCCATTTTTTCGGGCCTAATAGTTGTTTTAGAATATAAATGGCTCAATCCTAGTATTTTCAGAATATTAATTGTGACGTTTTCAGCGATTTTTGATTTCAGTTGTTTCAATATTCTAATTTTCGATATAGTAGACAATTAGCGACCCATTTAGTGACATTTTCATTTGATGTAATACTGAAGAAAAATTCTAAATAGCAATTAAGTATAAATATTTCAGTTATCAGGAGGGACACAAAGAGCACTAAGCTTTTATGTAAACATTGTATTGTTAAAAATATAGATTAAAATATGTATTCTGAGTGTCTACAAGAGAAAGCTTTTTTTTAAGAAAAAGAACTCATGGATAAAAAACTCACTGATGAACAGAGCAAATTAAAGGATATAAATGCGTAGAAAAAAAACGCGATTGAACGATGTTTTAAAGTTGTATTTTAAGTTGAAAAGGCCCGTTGTAAATAAAACAAAGAATGCATTTCAACGTGTTACATACACAAAGCCATGCGTTTAAATGTGTCAGAGAGAGGAAATGATGCGTTAAAACGCTGTTTCATACGATTTATTTTTTCGTGGGCGTTCAAAAACTATAAAATATTCATTTGGCTATTTTGTATAGTTAGTTTTATAATCTATTAATTTTTGTTTATTTTTATTGTGAAATAGTCTCGTCTGTTGTGACAAATATTGGCTTTATGATTTAGCTCATTTTGTTGTGGTTGAGAGTTTATATCCATATGGCGTTTTCTTGTGATCTATGCGTTTTGTGATTGTGAGTAGAGATGTCATTAGTTACTTGCAGTTAAAATAAATATAAATATATTTGAATTTAACTTACTTATAAATTAACTTAAATGTAAATATAAATCGACACTCCTGCTCGTGAGATGTTTTTGTAGTGATCATCTACTTCTGCAATGATGTCATTTTCTTGATGAAAATTCCCATTGTTCGTTTTGTTCATGTTGAGTAATATTTTAAAAACGTTCATATTTATATTGACATTTTGTTAAAAGTATGCAAGAGTAACGTGGACACTTAATTTGAAAAAGCTTCAAAACATTTATGAAATTCTTAGATTTGCTATAATTCAAGTTCATCATGTAGCCTATGCGCTGCTCTACCCTGCCAGGCCAAGGCAGAGCAGGGTGGAAAAAATGGTTTATGACGGTCTCTGGATCCAAGTGTTTGAGAAAATTTTCAGTTTGTGAAATTGCTTTCTTAAGAGATCTCCAAATATCTCCTTCAACTATTCACTATTAAATGGCATAGCTATCGATTTTTAAAGCCTACGACAAGTTCATGATGAGTAGTGAGCTTATTCCAGTAGTTTGTGGACAACATGTTATCAAACTAAGTATTTATAAAGATAAGAGAGATGTCACTGCGAGTGTTACAGAAAGAAATAGTCGAATATCTTGTAAGAGCAAGATCTTCAAATCTTGGGATCGGTAAGTAAGATCTTATCAAGATCTCGGAAAGATAATTCGTATGCACATATCTCGGTTTTATCAGATAAATCTGCACTTAAGATCTTGGCAAGATTATGGAAAAAATATCGTGTACTTTATCTTCTGATAAGATCTTGAGCGAAACAGAAAGCGACATCATTAGTGTATTTACATAGGCTATCTAGTCATTCACCGTTTTTTTAATGCATACACAGCTGTATATAAACAGCATGATTGAACATACGAAACACAAATTTTCAAAATTATTGTTTTTCTCAACTATTTCTCGATTTTCGAGAGAATGCTGATCTCGATCGATGACCGAGAGAGGACTACCCTAATTGGTCCGACGGATATCGGACCAACTTATAGCCAGTCAGATCCCAACATCTGACTTGCTTGAGTTATTTGGGACAGGAATAATTAAAATTAACATAAATTGAAAAAAATTTAAAGAATGCAACAGGTTTTATTTTAGTTTGCAAACAAGATTTTATGGATTCTTGTGTAAGATCTGTAATAAGATCTTGAGTACAAGATAATACAGTTCTCTTGAAACTAAATTTTCAAGATCTGTTAACATATCTGTACCTTGTATCTTGTCTAAGATCTTGCTTACAAGATGTTTGTCTAGGCCCCACCAGTTTTGAAACAAGAGCAATAATTGGAGATCTTTTGCTTCTATTTAAATATCTTTCTCTTTTATATGGAAATTCTAGCGACGACAAGCACAGAAACAACGACGGTTAGCACAGTGACAACAGTAACTACAGTAGCTGTAACAACGGTCACGACTACTTCAACGACATGTAAGTATTCATTGGAATTTCGAGATATTCAAAATATTTATTTTAGTCTGATTCTCTCGAATCGATCACATCTAGACAAAGCTACACAAATACAGATACAACTTGTATCGCGATTATGAATCCAATGATACCTATGAATTCTGTCTCAATCATGCATTCGTTTTAACCGGCTTGTATCGCCATGTATAGGCTAGTTATATCACTGTAACGATTCATATATTAATCCGATACATGGTGATACAAGCCGGTTAAAACTAATACATGATTTAGAAAGAGTTCATAGGTGTCTTTGGATTCATAATTGCGAACGTTTTTTCATTTGAAAATAAAATACGCATGGTGTCCTCTTTTCATAAGTTTTTAACAACCCAATTAATGAATTTTTCTTGCGATTTTATGTTCATCGGTAAGTCGTAGCTCGATTGGCACCTTGTAGGCATGAAGCTTCAGATCTTCTTTCAATATTCGATGGACGCTTGATTCGGATATGTTTTTATCCTTAGCCAAACTTCGAGCTGATACCATCTTTTGACTGAGTTTGTGATTCACTTTTTGAATTGTTTTACTAGCTCGAGCGAAGCGCGGACCAGCTGTTGGTATTGACAACTGGATAGAACCAGTGTCACGAATCATCTTACATTACCTTTTGATAGTATTTAATCCCAACACCCATTAAAATCACGAAAGGTCTTAGTGGGACCATCACCATCTTCGTATTTACAAAAAACTACTTTTCATCTTATACCGAAGACACGGTACATTCGAATAAAATTCAAAATACTAGATTCTTGTACAGGATAAAAAGACGAATATTAAACAAAAATATTTAGCCCTCAACGCATTGTTTTTAACAATGATGTCAGTAGCATAGTGGGAGACCCATTATTCGTGTGACTCATCTGCCTTATGTTTAAGCGCTGTGAAAAAGTTCTAGAATAGAATTTATGATTGTTGAATAAGTATCACTCTGAGTTGTATTTATTTTTATGTTTCTTAATTCAGCAACAACGACAACGACTACAAGTAATCAAACATCTTGCACGTTTCCATGCGTGTGCGTAGGTATTTCATCGTCAACTTTATGGCAGGCTTATCCGAGTAATAGCATGTACATGAATATTGATACAAGCAATTGTACCTTCAATCAAACGCCACTTTACTTCACTAGTATGGCTGGAAGTGCCTCGCATTATGGTTTAACTGGTTATGGTGCGATATATTCACCTACAAGTACTTCTTTTACAATCTATATTCAGAATGTTTTTGACTGGAATTCATCCTATTTAATAAGTGTGGCTACAATTGAGGCTTGGAATGTGAATTGGTTTGGATTGTATTACTAAAGACAGATATTGGTTTTCGTAAACACTTGTATCGAGAATATGAAATAAAACCTGAATTTGTCATGCAAATTTCCAGTAGACTCCCATAAATGCTTATTTGTGCCATTATAAATGGCTAACATAATGAAATTAGACTAAGTTAAGAAAGATGACACATGAGTATGGCGCTAGTATACTTAGTCGCACGATCACTTCGCCGCAGAACAGTTCGTCGCGATGAAAATAAATTTAATCAGCTCACTCTTTTTATTCAAGAGAAGGAGAAAGAGAGTAAATTAATTGAATTACATAATCCATACTCGTGTATTATTTAGTTAATCATATGGAAGTTTCAATTAGTCGTAGAATTTATTCCTCATAGCACAATTTTTTGAAAAATACGAAATGTTAATTTAAAATTTAACTTTCGTAAATAAAAATTGATAGAAAATTTTAATTCAAATAAAACTTCCAGAAAAATTAGATAAAACGAAATTTCTTATTTCAGGAAAACAATATATAATCCTATCACATTTAGAGTCATACTATTTTGCTTCCTGAGATTTGTTAGAACTTTATAAAATAGCGTCTCTAAAAAGAATTCCTCATTTATAAAATTCATGATTTTCAGTGCACGCTATAGCATTATTTGACCAATATACTTATTTTTTTAAATTTATTTGATATTAGAAACCTATACTCCATTTTCATAATTTCAGTATCATTTTACGAATTGATTGAATATTTTTTTGAAAAAAAAAATCATTTAAAAAGTTGCTCAGTGCATCGTGTAGATGCGAGTTATAGTATTTATTTTATTTTTCTGTTTCTTTGCCCAAAAATTCTATAACGGTCTACTCTTAATATTAAAGGAGCTGACTTGAAATTCTGTCAATAGGAAATAACACTTTGCCAAAATACTTTGGAGCTTCCCTTTAACCAGTACCATTTTACTCCTTAAACATCGCACTGTAGTAATTATGCAGATATAATTATTTCATAACACGGTGTATGTTTAGATGATCATCCAATAACATATGAATGTAAATGGTGTAATTCACTTAATTTACTCTCTTTCTCCTTCCCTTGAATAAAAAGAGTGAGCTGATTAAATTTATTTTCATCGCGACGAACTGTTCTGCGGCGAAGTGATCGTGCGACGAAATGATCGTGACGAAGTGAACGCGACGAAGTGTCATGCGACTAAGTGAACGGTCACCCATGAGTATGTTGCTTATGTAAATTTTACTTTAATTACCTTGATAATACAAAATGCATAATAGTATTATCATACTATTTATGATACAGTAAGTTTCTATAACAGCACAGGCTAATCGATTCGTTATTGGTGATCAGTTTTTTCGATGTAACAGCGTCGTATCTGAAAATCTAACAATACGTACATCTTATTCTTTGACTCGGGCTTCAAATATAATTGAAAAATTAGCATTTTAACCCGAAAATTCACTATCAACATCGAACAATCAATTTTATCTATTTTTTCGATACCTTAATTTTCGTGCTAGCATGTGAAATTGATGCATTGATTATTATTTGAACCTCTTAAGCGGATGAACAGACTTTTTGTAGTACTTTAAATAAAAGCTAGCTGACTATTTATTAAAAACATGTATTACCTGAAACCAAAAAAAAATGGAAGCTGAAGACTAACTGAATTTCTATCATGTGGAATGTCAGAATATATGATATTTAAACTCAATTCATAGACATTTAATTCGTCATAGATTTATCAAGAGAAAGAAATACACTCATTTTTCTGCTTTTAGCAGTTTTTTATTTTATAATTGCTCATAATGTAATGCGTAGCAATGTACAAAAACAGTTTAAACGAGTTCTGAACGTAGTAAATGCTTGGAAACGTGAGTTTAACGTTAGAAAGAAGCAGAACGTTTTAATTGTCATTTTTTGCCGTTTATAACCACTTCTTTTTATTCAAACGGTCCAATATGACCGTTTAAAAGGAAAAACAGCCTTTTCATTCCTGTCTGGGAACAAAGTTGTCTTACATCTTTGAGTTATCCTTGCTCTTTTGTTTCATTTAGCTATACCAAATTGTCATATTTTAACTATCGAGCAAGTTATTTTAAAGAAAGTCATGATACCGTTCTTCCAGAGGCGGAAAACGTTTTCAAGCATGTGGGTTATCTAGAAACCCACCAAAGATTCCTTGGATCCACCATTGAATTTTATCTACTCAAATCGATTTTCACTCGATTTGGATTAAAAATACGTGTTTTATTCGAGAATCAACTTCCCCTTTACTGTGTGATACTAGTATAAGAACGATCTACCTCAGCTTAGTTAAGAAAACCAGAAATCTGATACTAGGACCAGTGAGGGGTGGTACGATGAACAAACTGAAAGAGAATACTTGGATTTATCTCCTATCTGAAAAAACTAGACAGGTTTACAAAATCGACCTATAGGTAGTATACTCGACGCGATTCGAACCACCTCCTCCATTACATTTTTCACTCTTGATAATATATAGCAAACCAGAAATTTTTGAATATTTCGGCAAAGAGTGCTTTTTCTCAAAAACGAAAGCTTTAAAGAATGTTGTATTTTTCAACCGGAAGGGTACATCTGTTAAGATTAAACAGTGATTTTTCGTGATCAGCAGATCAAACTCTACAAAATACGTAAAAAAAGCACGGAAAAAATGGTTGACTGTAAGTTCGAGTTACGTGCACCTTACTACTTTCAGTGAAATAGATGAGTGGAATTAAGAATCGGGATGGAGTTCCTATATGACTCTCGGTCCGGATGGAAAATCGATTGCGTCAAAATTCATGTATTCCCACAGCCTATGGTAGATCTCTAAAAACGTTTACAATCGTTTGTTAATACGACAATTTAGAGGGGGAAAGCTGTTTTTTTATGTATTCAAAAAGTGAGTACACTCTAGATTTGGTCAGTGTGTCGGGACGGCCGTTATCGCGGTAAATTTTGAAAGCATCATCCAATTGTCATGAAATTTTTGTACACAGAATGATCTCATGAATATCTCAGTCGAATTCGAAGATGAAAACAATCCGTTAAGAATCAAAATCTTTGTCATAGTGAAAATGAAAACTCAACTATTACATACCATTCGATAGAGAATTTCATGGGCTACAAAATAATGCTAAATTGTAGGAGTAAATATGCTGTGTTTGAAATTTCCTTGATAGGTCAGTGCCCAAAAACTATGAAAAACCTGTGCATACTGACACTGCTGGTCGACTCTTTCAGACTGTTTAATCAAAACCAATATGCCGCCAGCTAAATTTTTCAAATACACATAACACTCGGATTTAAATCCGAGGTTTCCGCATTTATTTTCACTTGCTGCTGAACAATCATCTTACAGATGCTTATCATTTTATATATTTTTTCTCGACTCCAAATACGAATTAGAATTGTTGCAGCTCCACCCTCTCTCTTACACGCACAAAGCTTTCTACTATGCAACAAAATATAGTCTATTATAAGGAAATTTCAAAACACCTTATGATGCTTTCGAGTCAAACATATGTGTATCTCTATTTAGTAATACATGCCAACCCAATTTACATTCCATGCGTAACTTGCAGCGTAAGATAACATTGTTGCCGGTGTCAAGCCAGAACGACTCGTGACATAAATTCGAAACGAGGTACTTGTATATACATAAATAGCATTGTGGCCTACCAAATCAAAATGAGCATTCGTTCCATCTATACTAGTAATGTAAGTTGGTGTTTGATTGAAATGACAGCTGCTAGTATCGATATTCATGTACATTCCGCTAGTAGAGTACTGTAGCCACAAACTATAAGAAGAAACACCGGCACAGATACATGGTGGTTTACACCATGATTGAGTAGTTGTAGCTGTTGTTGTCGTTGTTGCTGAAATGAAGAATACCCAGATATTTCATGATATGAATAATCATCTGTTAATTCAAGTACGAATATAATTGATTATTGGGCAAAGATTCAAATATCATCGCCTTAAGAACTCATTTAAACTTCTAGCTGTTAAATGTATCATGTACACATACATATGAATATTTTCTTATGAGGTCAGATTTACACAGCAAACAACTTTACTATATTCAACCGTAGTCACATTTCTATAAAAGTTAGTATACATTGGAATATATTAAATTTCATGCAATTCTAATTATACTCCGTGTATAGAAATACATACCTCTGTCAGAATAACAATAAATAAAAATAAGTTTTGTTTGGCTAATCCACATCGACATTCGCGAAAATTTGGAGTTTAACGACAAATGAATAGAATTAAATCTATCTTGATCCATTTTTATTTATATAAGGCTCAGTATATCTATAGATGGAGCATGGGTTTACAAGACTTACAATAAACTGCTTACATAAAAGCAAAGAGTAATATATCCAGAGAAGCTAGAGGAATTTATGCAACATATTCCGTAATTGTGCTAAAATTAGTCTTATGTGAATAGCATTCATTGTGAAAGAAAACAACATCACACAAGTGATAAGATTGTCTTTGTTTTGTCGCTACGAACTATTGGAATCTCTTTATGCTTTTTTCTGTGACACGTAAAGTGTCCATTCCTTCGTCCCATATCTCTTCTGTCACATCGTTTGTTGAAAACTAGCTTCGAGTTCACTATTATGCTTGACTGTAATATCGTCGCAAAATGCATAATAGTATCGAACTTAAACTCTGAAACTCCGAAAGAATACAATTCATTGAAATTTGTCGCTTTTCATTGAACACTATGGAATCGAATGAGGATAATTTTGTTGAAGATTTTCCTTGAAATCAAACTAAGTAGAGACACTGGTCAATTTTCAAATTTCATCTAGTGTTTTTTCCAAGCAACAATGTATGGTCGAGATATTACTCGACCTTGAGGAGCATGTAAACAAATTGACACTTTAATCTTTTAGGTATCCTAGCGAATATTTACTTGTTGTTGTAGTTGTCACACTCGTTGTGGAAGTTGTTGTGGTGGCTGTCGTTATTGTAGTTGTCATTATCGTAGTACCAACTGTTGTTGTAGTTGGAGACCCTAGAATATTTTCATATGTAAAACAAAACTCGCACAAAGAAGAGTTCAAATTCCGCAATCTAACTCTCACTTAATAGTCACATAGCTTCGTTCTCCTTTCTACAGTTTCGATTGTATGTGCGATGTTTCTTTTCTTTATTAGAAACAAAAAACACAAGTTCTGCTAGTCATTCAATTTTATCAGTGTTTTACTGTATATTTTTTTTAAACTACTCAATAATGGACTTGTAGGCATTGAGAAACGTCCATGCTCTCATCTTTCTATTATTCATCGGTGACACAATGAGCTAGGACAGACCAAAATAGTTAGTTTTCGCTGGGTCAAAATGAACATCAATTATTATTAACAATATTTCGGTAATAGTAAATCTAGCTCCCTATTAACAATATCTATAAAAAGAATATCGTTGGCTATATAAAAGCCAAAATTTCCAATTTAGGAGTATAAAACTAATTTTAATGACAAATCATTTTTTCTGATTTTGTTGAGCAAAAATAAGAATTTCTTAAGATTCAGAATATTGCACCTTCAGCATTCCTCGTTGACTGTGTTCTAGTGATGAGATACTTTGATTTCTGCTAGTGGGCTATTTTTTTAAACGCGACTTCTATCATTTCAGATGCGTCAACGTTCAATAGCTCTGTTACACACAGTAGTTGTGTACTTACATAAAAAATGAAAATGAACCATTATTATTCCCAGAGCGATAGCCATGGCAGTTGTTATACCGAGCGACCCGATGCCAAATATTTTGAATGTTATAAAGTATTTTGATTCCTTGCTGGGTGTTCTGTTAAAGAAGAAGGAACCTACATTATGTTATTTATTTTTTGTTACTCACTTTGTCCCTGATGGAATGTTGCTTACAGTATCAAATGAAACATTTATCTTCTCTGGAGTAAATGACTGTACAGGTAAAGGATGAAAGGCCTGTACCAGCTTCATAAAATAAAATGATTTTTGTGTAGGAAGGTTTGAGGACACTTACTGGTTGTTGTATTGGACTAAAGTAAGGTGCATATTCTCCTCTGAATGTAGCAGTACTAGTGTACATTTTCAAGCAACTAATACTGGTTGCAGTCGGTATTTACTTTTGTATTGATCAATTAAAATGTGAAAGATCAAGAAACGAAGAACAATGTATAGTTAAACAACAGTTGCCACCGTTCCTTTTAAAAACCTTTTATTCATTCTTTACTCACAATGTTCGAAAGCACGTAAAATTTTAATGGATTCATTTTGTTTTCTTCGGTAGGAAACCATTGTACAGGTTGATGTCTATAGCTTGTTTTTGATTCATTACGCTGTTTACGATTGAATATATGAAAACAGTTGCTTCAACTAAAAAGAAAGCTATACATTTCGAGAAGACAGTCATTCTCTATAAGAAGTTTGAATGATGAAAGCGAAAATTGAAATTGGAAATTGGAAACAAATGTTGAGTTCAGCTACTCATGGTTCTGATTAGCAATGCTATTGCGTTCGCTTGCTCACATATAACAACTTATTTTTGCCAAATACATTTTTTTTAAATTTTATAGGCTGAATCGTAAAAGTGCCGGCAATCATACTTGTTAATACAAGAGGGTAAGTGCTGGGTGCCAGCACTTTCCCCCGTGTGTTAATGTGTTCGGATACTTTCGCTCCTTTTTTATTGGTTTAGGAGCGAAATCAATATTTTTTACTGGTTACAGCGCATGTCCGTAATTCGAACAGCTATTCACACACCTTCAGAGGTTTCTCTTTTTTCAAAACCATTTCTGCAGAAACATATCGATTTTTTTACATTGTTGAGTAGAGAAATGTTTTCTCTATACAATGATGCAAAAATCATTTTTTTATCTTCAAAACTAACTCAGTAATTAGCGGTAGTTTCAGAGAAATTGAATTTGTCCGTTTTAGGGGCTCTGTTTCTAATACGAACAACAAGCAAAAAAATGTTCCTAATGCGAACACCCAGCAAAGAACAAGCAAAATTTAAAAAAAATC